AACATGATTAACAAAAATGACTAAATCAGAATCGGAAAAAGACAAAAATAGAAAATGGCTAAGAAAACCTACTAATTTGGCTAAAACAAATACTAAAACAGGATTAAACAAAACGAACCAAAATTAAACTAAACAAGTAACACAATTACAAGAACAGAATGCAAATATTGAAACCAAAAATCAAAACAGAATCAATCGTAGAAAAGAAAATATTTAAACAAGGAAGAAGGAAAAGAACAAACTCACTGATATGGTCTTCCCTTCGATGACTTTTCGAAATTGATTTTTTAATTAATGCTATATGTTTATTAAAACATATAACATTAATTAAAAAATCATCCGAGTTATTGAAATTCCAAAACAGTTTGAACTTTGAAAACCCTAGATCTAAGATTTTACCAGTTCCGGTTGGATTTGGGGAAAATGATTTAGGGTTTTAGGCTAATGAGAGTGAGGGGAGTGTAGGGTGTGGATTTGGTAGGTTTTGGATGACGGCGCCGCCGTGCACGGTGGTGGCGGCGCCTAGGGTTTGATATATTTGAGGATTTCGGCTAGGATTCGAAGGATTTCAAGCGTGGATATGAAAAGAGAAGGGAGGGAGGAATCTGTGGTGAAAATTTGGGCGAGTTAGGAGGCCGGCCGCCGCCGTGAGGCGATTTTCAGCGGCGGCGTAAGACGGAGCCGGCGACGGAGAAAGGGGGGGGGGGGGGGGGAGAACAGGAGGTACGAGGAAGTTAAGTTTTGTCTCTAGGTTTCTGCAAGGTTTTGGACATTTTTATTTAAAATTCATAATTGAACCATTGGATTAGAATGGATGGATGGCTTGAATTGATTTGGCACTTACTAATTCAAAACGACGTAGTATCCCCCTTATACTACGTCGTTTTATTGGTCTTAGGGACATGGTCATTTGGACCGGGTAGGGGTGCATTTGGGCCATTTTGGCCGGATTTTGGGGTTTGGGCTCGAATTTATGGCCCCAAAAATGGTAGCCTGACCCCTTTTCTTAATTTCAATTTTTTTTTATTTGTTTTCTTCTTTTCTTTTTGTATTTTATTTATTTATTTATTTTTTTGAATTTTGGATTTTGCAAAATTAAAAATACCCAAAACATGATTTAATTCTAAATGAGGCTAATTAAATTTCCTAAAATTAACTAGATTATAATTTTAAGAGGAAAATTAAACAAAAGTGAAACTAAAGGAACGAAAAATGTAAAAGGATTATTTTTGTTATTTTTCTCTTATTTTCAACGATGTTTAATTAATCTAAAAACCTAAAATTGGGTCCTAAATGTAAGTATGCTATTTTGTAATATTTTTTCATTTTTTATGAGAACTAAAATGCACATACAATGTAAACAGAACACAAAACCATACAATTAATTCCTAAAAATTATATTAACAGAAAAATTCTAATTTTAACGAATTCTATAGGAGTGATTTGAGCGCGGCAAAAATCACGTGCTCACAGTACAGAGTAATAAATTTGATAGAAATATAAAAATTGAACATAAAAGATTTTTGTTGTATAAAAAACATAAGTACTCCACAGTTACAACATCAAATGTACTAAAGTTTCAAATAATTATTCAACATAAGATCCAAAAATATTAATTGTTGAAACAGTGACATTCTGTCCAAAAAGTCAAAGAAGAGCAAGTTTACAAATCTCATGGGTGTAGTTAATATGTAGTTCAAATATTATTTTAGATCACAACTCAGATTTCGTCATGCTTTTGTATTCGTAGTCTTTATAAGTTAAAAACAGTACAACCTTTGTACTGAAACCACATTTACAAGAGAGAAAATATAGAAGACAAACTGTTCCAATTACTATAATGTTAAAACCAAAATACTAAGAAATTAAAGCTTACCATGTGGCCTTCTCCAATATATGTTCATCATCATCAATCATGCGTGAACACCTTGAATAGGAAAAGATTGCTTTTACCTTCTGCAGGACATGTAACACTCACATTAGAGATCATGTCATAGTATTTTCTCTCCACACGCCTCAAGAAAACTATTGAACCTCAACTAAGTATCAAATATATCCTCAAGTCTCATGTCTCTAAAGAGATCAAGGACATAAGGGTAGTTAATGTAGCAGTGATCTGATTATTTTACATGTTACATCTCTAACGTGCACATTGTAGTAGATTCAACAACAAATAAAGTTATACCAAGCATTTGAAACACATGATTATAGACAGCAACAATCATTATAGACAAATTTCAATTAGATTTATATGACTGATCTAAACAAAGATTAATATGTAGAAACAAGAAATATTGTGCTCATCTTCAGAAGGTTGTACTGATAACTACTTTAATGGCCAACAATTCTAAGTCAAACTTTCATAAATGCTATAAATTATAATCAAACTGACTATGCAAAGACGCCAGCCAACAAAGTTAAGAAAAGAGGGTAAAGCACAAGAAATATGATGTTCCACATACTTTTCATAGCCCTCTTCGTACATGTCTAGCAATCAAGAACCAAGTCATTTCCTGTAATATCCCAGCTCATGGGCTCAGGCTCCTGCATGATCAACAATCGAAGATCCCTTCTGAGTTAGAGCCTCTAAATTTGTCCAGTCCCAGTAGATTAAACATATATTAAAAAAGACTACTTACTCAAAAGTTTAATAAAATTAAAAAGTAAAACTAGACTACTCCATGTACTACCTTGATTACGAATTACTCTAGTAGTTAAATCTCAGGAGAACTACCACTAGTCAAATTAAATATGCCCTTCATAAAAAAGCTCATAAAAATATTTCATTTGCATTAGTTAGTCCCATATATGCAGAATGACAAAGAGAAAAATTCACTGAGTTTTTTCTCTTTTACATTAAGAAAATGACTAAATTAGAAATGAGAGATTATCAATACAGAAGTCTTTACCTAAAAGCCTATTGAAATATGGGCAAGCAAACATAGCCTATGCAAAAAATTCTCACAAACACCAAACACAACACATGCAGCCAAGTCTGCAATACCTAGTTTGAAGAAAAAAAAGACTACAACAGCATTGCAAATGGTAATAAAATTAATTCAAATAGAACTACTCAATTATTCAACCTACAAAATTCAATAGCTTGAACAAGAATATACAACATGAGTAAATGACAACCAAAGACCACTCCACACACACATCTGTTGATTCTATCAACCAAGCCTCAATTTCAAATTAGGTAAGGCCACTATAAAATCCTCTGTCATATGCCCCTCTATCCCTGCTAATATATGTTCGAATACACAAACAATTCAGGAAGGATCAACAAGTTAAACTCAGAATATTTAAAAAAGAAAGTAGCAAAACACATGTCGCCATTTCTCAATAATAAATTCTGTTCAACCATGGAATAAAATCAAAATGTTATCAAATGATTGATACTCAAATGTCTTAAAAGAGACCAATTATTTATACATCTCCTTTAAGAATAAAATTATAATCTGAATGTAAGAGAGCACACCTTGCTCCTTTACCCTCTTTCATTTTCGCAGATCTTTCTTCTTTAAGATAAAAAGGAATTTTTTTCCTAAAAACGAGCATACATACAACTCATCTCATTACCTTCAAAAACACACCGATTTTACTCAAGCAAAAAAAATATATCTAGAAAAATAGCTGAACAGATAGCCTCTTTTACCCTCGCTGAGTTCTAAACAAATGAAGAGATTGAAGAAGGAGTACAAAATCATACTAATCACATCTAGTTTCCTTCTATGATTCTCCAAATGATACTACAGTCAATTCCAAAAGAAGAATCCAATCCTTCGGCTAATACAATTTCATAGCTCTATTAGAGGATATAACAATAAAAGACCAAAAAAACCTCAATTGCATACACACTCTTGCTTGTCAGCCAAATTTCCACCACAAATGAAACCATTCCTTTTTAGCAACAAATATATACAATGTTCAATACAAAAGCAATCTAAGCACAGATCCACCAACTATTGATAGCGCAAAAGTGAACCCGCAATATAACCCTAGATCCACATGAATAAGTAATCAAAACATAGAGAAGTAGAGAGGACCTAGCTGAACCTTGTTTGGAGATGGGAATTGACATCATCAAAGGTGCAACAGGGCAAAAGAACTCATTGCAAGCATCCGGAGACCAGAAGCTTCGTAATTTCTTCCCTATTGATGCTAGAGTCTTGATGGCGAGAAGAGGGGAAGGAAGGAGAACATCAGAGGAGAGAAGAAGGAGTCGACGATGATCCGGCGATACATGCCAACGATTTGGTCTAGGTTGGTGAGCGGGAGAGAGGGAGATTGCATAAACGGTTTGAGAAATTGGGGGTGAGAGAGCGATAAGAGGAAGTTCCAAATACTTCTAATTGGTGTGAGTGAGAAGTATTACTTTTTTAATATGTGAAAATTAAAACAAAGTTCGAAACGCCATTTATGTATTGGAACCGCCATTTTAAAAATGCGGAATTGTGGCAGTTCACAAACCGCCGTAATATAATGTGTATTCGGTGGCTTCGAATAACCGCCATAATTAAATCGCTGTAATTTCACCGATTTTTTTATTGATTAACTTAATTAGTCGTCTAGTTAATCGCTTAAACTAAAACAGTCGATAAATATATAATATATGTAAAATATGTGTATAACAACCGTGTAAAACTCAATATGTAATTTGTGTATTCCGACTAGAAAGTAAAGAACCTTTACTTTTTTCTTGCTTCTTTCCTTTTTATGGAACGAGATTTTTGGACTGTGACAATCTTAATAAAAGGCTTTCCTTTTCTTAGAACTCAACGATGGTGAGCAGATTAACAATAATACTGACTTTCTTTTGGTTAAAAATAATACCGATGACTTATGTGCTCATGACACCAACATTTTCGTCAAATGTCATAGCATACTAATTAATTTTTTGTGCTTCCTAGAAATATAAAACTGATTTTACACTAATCCTTTCTTTTTTCAATTCGATGAGGAAAAAAGATATGATTAATTATTGTATAATTACTGACTAACCAACAAAACAGTAACACGAGATAGTTCCTGGTAATATTCTTAGAAATATAAAATGCTTTCACACTATAAGTCAACATTTCTTTCTTTGCCTTTATCGAAATTCGATGAGAGAATTCACAATATTTATTAATTATTCTACAATCACTGACCAACCAAACAAAACAGTAACACGAAACACTTCCTGGAATGCGAATATCTTGCTAAACTTCCATGAAGTTCACTGTAGGTGTTCATTTGGGAGTAGCGGCAGCTGCAGCTTGAAAACGAGCTTTGAAATGGGCAACCAACTCATCTCTAGGAGGTAGATATTCCTTGTTTTGGCTGCAGTTAATGTACTCATCTCTCCACGCACAAAAATTTGGAAATTTTTCACTTGTCACTAAAACAACTCCAGAGGCTTCTTCAAAAACTCCCAGCCAAAGTCCCACAAAATTTGCAGCAATATCAGCCAACCCAATTTTGTCACCGGTAAAGAATTTCTTATCCTTGAGCTCATTATCAAGAATTTTCAGCATTTCATAAGCTTCCTCTTTACCTTTCTCTTGCTCCTCTCCTTTGAGAAAGAAACTTTTCCCCACTGCTAGCACCTGCAATAAATTCAAGAACTTAACAACAATGGCAATAATATCTCATCCCTAACCACGTTGAAGTCGGATATATGAATTTTGACTAGCAATATCATTTCCTTTAATTTAAACTCATCTAAGATCAGTACGATTACTCTCTTTATTATCTACTGACGTATAAACCTATGAGAGAATTAAAAGAGTTATAGAAAACATAGGACCTAAAGTAAAGTACTAACATGATTATAACATATTCTCATCTAATTGGTATCACCATAATAGATCATTTTCTTCCATTTTGCCCTCTCATTTTTTTTCTGGCTAAGTTTGCATAAATTCCAAGATATTCTAAGTCTTTTGTAACTTCTTTTGATGTGATTTTAACACAACCTTGCGTTTTAAACACCTTTATTCACCATGATGATAACACCTACGAATCAGTGCATCTAAAAAGTCGACACAAGACATGACCAATCATATAAAACATAAAACAGTCAAAACTTTAAGTTTCAATAAATTTTTACTAAATTCTGCAAAGAGGAATACAAAGCATGAAGACGAATTTTACCTTATCCTCAAGGAACTTAGCCCAGAAACGAGCTATAGCACGGTCATAAGGGTCTTTAGGCAAGATGGAAGGACCTTCAAAAGCCTCATCAATGTATTCAAGAATGACCATAGACTCTGCTACTGGCTTTCCATTGTGAATTAGAACAGGGATTTTCTTGTGAACAGGGTTGGATTGAAGAAGTAGAGGGCTTTTATTTTGTAGATTTTCTTCTATAAATTCATATTCCACGCCCTTAATCTTCAGTGCCCACTCAACTCTGTGACTAAAAGGGCTATACCAAAGACCAAGCAACTTCACTCCTGCCATATGATATCACTACTTTGGTTCTAAGTGTTTTTGCTTTACTATGTTTAGCAATTTTATGTTGTGGTTATCTCTTGAGTTGGTCTTCTTTTATAGAGGAAAAAACTAGGAAATGTCTTGACAGTCAATTAGCAAATGCAGTGTTTCTTCTTTGACTATTCAATTTTCTACTTTACTGCTTCCATATTGACCGAAGACTTAAGATAAGTAGTACAAGCATAAGATATGATAAACTATATTATAATTCTTAATTATTTTGCTTAAAAAGTAAAGTTTTCGCTAAATTGTTTACAGAACAGAATTAGGAATTAAAAAGTTCATATGTAATCTATATCTAGTCCAAATTAATAAAATGTGTAGAAATTAGTAGCTTAGTGATGTTGTACCTAAGGCTATTTAAGTGATACTATTCTAGAAGGTGTACGCGTGTAGTTAGAGTTAGTTAGGTCGGTTAGTTGTTATACATATATGTATAGTACATTTCGTTTAGTTAGTTGAAGAAATGAGCTCAGTTCTCTCTCTATCTTCTCTTTTTCTCTTCCTTCTTCATCTCTGAAGTCGATGCTCATGAAGAGCTCAACAATGGCAGACCTAGGGCTTATATTTGACATGGTATCAGAGCCCGGCTCCACGTGATTCTGACAGTCGAGCTCCAGCATCTAATCATTTCTTCCAAATCTCTAATTTTTCCCAATTTTTCGTTCTTCTTCTGAAATTGTTTGCAGCTTGTGAAATCTTCAAAATTCTTCGATTTTTTGCTGAAATGGCCATCGATACTCCTGATATGAGTGCTGGATCATCACATGCAAACACTCAAATACTCGATTGCAATGATCAGCTATATGCACAGCCTTTGGACACACCAGGTATCTCACTTGTGCATGAACTACTAATTGGAATAGAAAACTATTCGGAAAGGAGTAGATATATGACAATGTCACTATTGGTTAAGAATAAACTAGGTTTTATAGATGGATCCTGTACTAGAGAACAGTCTGAGAAAGATAACTTTAGGTTAAGGCAATGGGAACTGTGCAATGCCATAGTCTAGTCATGGATAAGAAGTTCAATAGCCCAAGAACTTAAAAGAGGAATTGTGTACTCTTTAGATGCCCAAAGGTGTGGAAATCTTTAAAGGATAGATTTGACAAAATTTATCACATGAACAAGGAAATAAGTTCCTTGACACAAGGAATCTCTAGTGTGTCTGTGTATTTTTCTAGGCTGAACGATCTATGGGATGAATTTAAGTCAATTATCCCATTTCCTGGTTGTGATTGTGAAAAGTCGAGACAATTTGTTGTGTTCCTACACCAACAGAAATTTATGAAGTTTTTAATGGGATTGAATGAGAGTTATGCACCACAAATAAGTCATATACTGATGATGCATCCAACACCAACACTTGATCGAGCATATTCCGTGATTGTTCAAGAGGAAAGTCAGAGAATGAGTAGTGGATCTGCTACACAAAGTGGGATTCTAGGAGGTGCACCTGTAGGTATGGACAATAGTGCACTGGTAACTGCAAATGCTTCTATCTTGAGACCTAGGAGGAACAATATATTACTATGTGATTATTTCAAGATGAAAGGACATACAAAGGACACTTGCTATAAACTCAATGGATACCCACCAGGTTTTAAGTTCAATAACAATAAGAGGAGAGGAACACATGATAGCTGTGGACCTATGGCTCATAATGTGAATGTAGGTGATGAGGTTCAAAATGCAGGAAATGCATATGCTATGCAAAATGTTCCAACTGTACCAACTGTGCAGGGATTTACTTCAGAACAATATCAGCAGATTCTCAAACTCTAAAGTAAAGAACCTCATCCAGCAGAAGTTGTCAACATGGTAGGTAAATTACTAACTGAACATAACTGTTGGATTATTGATTCTGGTGCTTCAAATCATATGGTATCATCCTTGAATGTCTTGTCAAGTATCACCCAAATACCTAATCCTAAATCTTCCTCATTGCATCTGCCTAATGGTAATAGCACCAAAATTACTCATACTGGTTCTTGCAACCTATTTAACTCAGAAACCATTCATAATGTTCTGTATGTACCCGAATTCAGATATAATCTGTTATCTATCTCCAAATACACTAAAGAGTTAAATAGTGATGTCCACTTTTATCCTGATTTTTTGTATCTTTCAGGACCTCTCCAGTGGCATGGTGAAGGTGATTGGTAGACTCAAAGGAGGGCTCTACATCTTTAATCCTTCAGCACCTGCTACTACCTCTTCTTTCTCCAATTGTATGACAGTTTCACATCAACCAAGTTCAAGCTTCATGTGGCATCAAAGACTGGGCCATGCCCCTATGACAGTCTTACAAACTATATTGAGATAAATAAATACTTGTCTAAGTCATCTGCTTGTAATTGTCCTGTTTGTCCTTTTGCTAGACAAGTTAGATTGTCATTTTCTATTAGTACTTCTAAGTCTATTTGTTCTTTTGAACTTGTCCATATGGATGTTTGGGGAGCCTATAGAGTATGTACTTACAGTGGCTTCAAATACTTTCTAACTATTGTTGATGACTATACTAGAATGACATGGACTTTTCTCTTAAGACTCAAGATTGATGTGTATGTTGTTTTAAAAGACTTCCTTCAACTTGTAGAAAACCAATTTGGCATTACTGTCAAGTGTGTCAGGTCAGACAATGAAAATGAATTTTTTAACACTCTTTGTTTCAATCTTTGTAAGTCCAAAGGAATAATTCATCAAAGCAGTTGTGTGCACACTTCACAACAAAATTGATTTGCGGAGAGAAAGCACAAACATCTTCTTGAAATAGGAAGAGCCTTAAGATTTCAAGCCAACATACCCTTAAAATTCTGGGGTGATTGCATTCTAACAGCAACTTACATCATAAATAGGCTTCCTATTTCTGTTCTACAAGGAAAATCTCCTAATGAGATGTTCCATGAAAAACCTCCTTCTATCGATCACATGAGAACAATGGAATGCCTTTGTTATGCCACAAAGACTGACTTTCATGATAAATTCAACCCTAAGTCTACACCTGGAGTCTTCATGGGATATGTAACAACACAAAAAGGATATAAAGTATATGATATTGCTGCTAACAAATTTATGGTTAGCAGGGATGTTGTCATCAAGGAAGGGATATTTCCTTTCAAACATCCTAAACACAGGTTCTTAGTTATCCCTGATACAAATCCTAGTCACCTTGTTTCATATATCTTTCCCCCTTCCAACATAGCACCAGAACCTTCTACCAATAATGAACCAGAAGTCATTATACTTGATCCTTCAAATGATTCAGCAGATTCACCTGCTCCTTTCTCTAATTCTCCTGATAGCTCTTTTGTTATTCCTACTCATTCCTCCTCTTCTACACCTCCTTTGCCTACTGATTCATCATTTGACGCTCATGATGAATTAAAATAAAACTCAAGTGCTATCCCAGTTACCTATCCCACACAAGTTAGGAAGTCAGGTAGGGTCTCTAAGCCTCCTATCTGGCTGACTGGCTATGTACATCCTTCCTTGCCTTCTACTTCTGCATCCACTTTATCCCTCTACCCTATACATCAATTCATTTCCTATTCTCGTATTTCTCGTACTTCTCAATCCTACCTAGCCTCTTTTTCTTCTGACAATAAACCAACGTCTTTTTCTCAAGCTGTCAAAGATGACAGGTGGATCAAGGCTATGAAACTTGATATTGAGGCATTAGAACAGAACAACACTTGGGAAGTAGTGAATCTGCCCCCTGGCAAAGTCCCTATAGGGTGTAAATGGGTGTACCAAAATTAAGTACAATGCTGATGGCACAATGGAAAGGTTTAAGGCAATACTAGTAGCAAAGGGCTATACTAAGCAGGAAGCGATTGACTTTCATGATACCTTCTTACCTGTGGCCAAAATAACCACAATGAGAACTGTTATAGCAGTTGGTGCACTCAGACAATGGCTAATCTATCAAATAGATATCCATAATGCATTTTTGAATGGTGACTTACATGAAGAAGTCTACATGACTATGCCTCAGGGATTTGGTAGCCAGGGGGAGCATAGGGTATGTAGACTATTCAAACCCCTCTATAGCTTGAAGCAAGCCTCTAGACAGTGGAATTTGAAGCTAACACAAGCTCTTCTCAAATCTGGTTTTTATCAAAGCAGACATGATTACTCCTTGTTTACTAAAACAACTAATGAAAAATTTGCTCTCATACTTGTCTATGTAGATGACTTACTTATTACATGTAATGATCAAGAGGAGATTCATACATCAAAAGCATCTTTGAATCAGAACTTCAAGCTGAAAGATCTTGGAAAGTTGAGATACTTTCTGGGAATTGAAATTGCTAGATCAGCAGAAGGTATCTATGTGTCTCAAAGGAAATATGCTTTGGAGATGATTTCAGAGGCATGACTCTCAGGATCAAAGCCCAAGAAGACCCCAATGGAACAAAACTTGAAACTTACAAGCACAAAATACTAATGATAGTAGCTTAGAGGACAGAATTCTTTTTAAAAAATTAGTTGGAAAGCTTTTGTATTTGACAATCACAAGACCTGATATTGCATATGTTGTGCAGAGTCTAAGCCAACTTATGAATGCTCCAAAGAAGTATCATTATGAGGCTGCATTACATGTTGTGAGATATATCAAGGATTAGCCTAGACTTGGACTTCTCATGTCTAGCAATAGTGCAGAGAGAGTTCAGGGATTCTTTGATTCAAATTGGGGATCATGTCCCATGTCCAGGAATTCAATTACAGGGTTCTGTATCAAACTGGGGAATTCTCTCATTTCATGGGAGGCAAAGAAGCAGACTACCATCTCGAGGTGCTCAGCTGAAGCTGAGTATATAAGTATGACACATACATTGGCAGAGTTGACATGGTTGAACGGTTTGCTGAAGGAACTAACAGTAGACATTAAAAAGCCTATGAAGTTGTTTTGCGATAACAAAGCTGCCTTACAAATTGCTGCAAATCCCATCTACCACTAAAGAACTAAACACATAGAAATTGATTGCCATTTCATAAGGGAGAAAATTCAAGAGGGTTTAATCAAGACTGCGC